CATTACGGCACTTAATGCCACTGTGCAATGTAACACAGACTTTTCACTATATATGTTATGAGTCCCGTGTAATAGGGGGTGAGCCTATTGCCATATACCGGGCACAATTCCAGATTCCGTGCTACTACGGTTTTTTTTAAACCCAGTAATACTTTGCCTGACCGATTGATAACTCGACAACGAGACAGTTAATTTGTGGATCATACAAAGATTCGCTACGTGCGGAAATCAAACCCGCTATACGTTGCGCGGTAGCCGGTTTTCGCGTAACGTGTAGCGAAGAAATTGCCGGTCCTTCAGGGGCCCCGAAGTATGTGGGTGCTGGGCATGGGCCCCGAGTGCCCTTATGATAAAGGCGTCACTGTTCACAACACCTGTCCTCAGCCCCTTCAAGTACAGAAACTAAACCATAATAATCCAACTGCATTAACTACGCAATTAGTTTTAATTCCCCCTTTTAACCCTCAAACGCTATTCCACTTTACTGTTGTCGTCTGCGGTCTCATCCCAGATCATATCGGGGGTCCAGTTAAGTAATTTATACAAAACATGGCGAGACCAGGGTTACGAATACGTAGTGTAATAACAGTAACGTTGGATAGTATTTGAGCATGCGACAGACAAATGAGTTAATACTACAGTTGCCATGGCAACAGGGAGTTTTTTCTATGATATAGTGATCTACATGTTTGTAAACATCCGCAACACCAAAGTTACAAGTCGCTGCTAGCTTTCGAGACTGGATACCCAGTAATCTCACTCACATGGTGAATTTCTACTAAAGCGTTTATTTATTTCTTTCTTTATTTATGTCCAACACACAGACTATATATAGGAAAACCCATTACAGATCACAAGCATTGTTTCACGCCAGTCTTTAATCATAGTTTAGAAAAATATTGATAAAGAACGGCATACATATTTGTCTCTCGGCCTAGCGACCAGCTAGGTGAAGTGACACTATTCGCAAGATGGCCGGACTCTAAATGCCTATGACTGCACGGTTGGTGCGGTGGCTGGGCAACCGGCTGCCGTGTAGCGTGTTGTGGGTTCGATTCCCGCACGGAACAACACTTAGTGTGATCCACAAATTGTTGTTTCGGGTCTGAGCGTCATGTCTATGTGAACTTATATGTTTGTAAACGCACCCACGACACAGGAGAAAATCCTAATATGGGGCAACGTTATATTAAAAAAAAATGACAAAAGCTGAATATTAAGCTCAATGGCATCCATGCTTAATTCGTCTAATTTCACTACGAATTTTAAAAACCCTTTCCCAAAAATCCACAATGTCCCACACAACTTCAAAACATGGAGACTACACTTAATAGCGGTCATGCCTTACTCGTACGCCATTAAAGACATCTGACGATGGTTAAATAATAATTAGGTCGAGCACGTGCGCCGCTATATGATATGAGGAGTATGAAACGTAATCGTTTTACCATGAATATAGGTACCCTTAAAGTTTAGCTACTTTTATCAAAACTAGATTTATTGTTGTGTCCCCTGATAAGAATTTATGGGTGTAGTTGTGTTTGAGTGGTGTAGGGGTCTAAAAAAGGTAGGTCATTAAAGGAATGGGTATTTTTGTGCATACCTATTTCATGTATTTTAATTATGATGACCCGTTTTAATTTCTTGTCTCTTTACTTTTTTTTTTTTAATGAAACGTTGCCCCACACTAGGATTATCTCCTGTGTCGTGGGTGCGTTTACAAACATACAAGTTCACATACACATGACACCCAGACCCGGAACAACAATTTGTGGATCGCACAAAGTGTTGTTCCGTGCGGGAATCGAACCCGCGACACGTTGCACGGCAGCCGGTTGCCCAGCCACCGCACCAACCGTGCAGTCTACTGTAGGCGTATCACAATAGATGAGGCGAACGAGGTATCCAAAATATTTTTTAAATTTACATGACAACATTTCTCATAGTTTTTTAAGCAAAAATGCATGTTAACATCCCATTTCACTGATATATTCAGTCGCTATCACCTGAACACGACACCATCACCAATGACGTCACACAAAAATAGAATTTTCTTGCCAAACGTGGAACCTAAGTGCCTTTGTGACGTTGCACTTTTCTCAGTAGTACCTAGACATGCCACCCACATGAGAACATTATCGTTGGGTGTAGAATTGTAGATAGATAGCTTGGGTCATGTCTGACCTTTGACTTTTAAGAATAATCTAGTTTTTAAGTGTAAAAAGAAAAACATTTCAATAAATATTTGGTCTATCTGTGCATTGAATTTTATATTTTACGTTTTAATAGCAAAACTCTATTTGTAGGCCGTATCATCGCTTACGACCAGGCGAGATAGAAGCTAACGTCGACCCATCAAATATAAAGAATAATAATAAGAAAAAGTTCTTATTTATTTATTAACCTCTCGCGCGTTTCTAGTACACACGGGTGTACAAGAGCGACTTGCACCGATTGGAAACTTTTTCTGTGATGTATATTTTCAAGTTGCAACCCGTTCTTTATTTGATTGAACAGAATAGTTCATTCGCTTTCTATTAAACCCGTATACGAGACGCGCGAGAGGATAAATATTATTATTAATGCGCGTGCGCAAGAGGAGCGAGTTCCATAGTCTCACTGAATGGACGGAGAAGGAGTAGGAGTAGAAGTCGGTATTATGGGGCACAGTTTTAAGATAGGATTTAAGATGTAAACAAGTAAGGACTGCAGGACGTACCAAGGAGAAATAAACGGTCACGAAGATAAGCAGGATGGGTTGAAGAGGATGTTATAGGTAGAGGAAAGCCTGGGAGGGCATATTGAGTGGATAAAAGGGAAGGTTTGAGAAATGACTCGGAAATCAGTAGAAGATCGAGATGCACATTGCTAAAGGTAGCCAGAAGATCGGGGTAGTGTCCAGAAACACTCTGTACATTAATATAAGCGATATTGAGGTTTTTCAGTGAGAGTGAGAAGAGATTAGATAAGTTGTCATGCAAGGTGAGTGGCTGGGAAGCATCACTGTCTGCGCTAGCAAAACTAGACGCCGAAGAGCAAGTGAGAAAACTATCACTAAAACCAATGAAACCATCCATAACAATTATAATGAAACAGATAACTGTATAAGTAGGTATATAATATTATTAAAATAAATAGATATTACAAATAATAATTATTATTATGACCTAATCAAAATAAAGAAGCGGTGGCTGTTTACTAATACAATAAAAAGCAACCTCCCCACTTGCTAGAGTAACTGTGTGTGAAAACCATAACCATGAATGAAATGGAGCACATATGACAGACACAGTGACATTGATGACAGATGACAATTACTGGATATGAAAATGACATTAGTGACAGCAAAGCACTAAAACAACTGCAAAACAACAAAGCAACAAATTATCGATGTACCGGCAAACGAAAACAAAAATGCTCATCTATATTAATATTAATATGTGATGGGATAAATTAGCACGGTCAGCGATGAAAACCAACGCATTAAGCCACCAAATCACGGAGCGACACAGTAAATAAACACATAATACTAACGTTCAGTTTCAGCGAGTGTTACGCGTTCTCCGCAGGGTCTTAGGTAACGAGTCATCACTTTTTTTTTTAGGGGGGAAAATCATCGAATGACTGCTCCCGCCTGGGTGAGGCGGGAGGGAGTGTCAGACTCTTACTGACTAAAAACCACCCCGTTCCTTCTCCTGCACGTCGAGTCGGAGCGACGGATGCGGTTTCGTGCTTGACATGGCCTCAATTTCAATCAATTTGCGTCCTAAAGCTGCTCAATGCTTCCAGCACATAACCTTTAAATTTTAGGTACTCGGATGCAGATCAATGATGTCAGCCGGGGGTGAATTTGCAGCCGTCACCTTCTCCAGCTGCTCCTCGTGAGCAGTCATCCTTGAGAGGATCAGGGCCTTCATATTGTCGAAGCTAGCAGCAACTTTAGTTTCCAGGGCTCCTTGATGGAATGACTTGTGGACACTTGAAAACAATTATTAACTAACAAAGGGGGGTCTAGGACACAACTACTGTATTATGACATGAATAATCACTATTTTTATATTTTAAACTGTCGTGCAACAAAATATATGTGTATCCACTACTGTGTCTACTCGCAAAAAAAGAGTTCTTAGTTGAGGGTTGATACTTTTTACATCAAAAATTTTAGAAATTATTACTGAGACAGGCGTTTATTAAAAGAGAAAGGAAAGAATTAGAATAAGAACAAAAAAAAATAGTACAAAATGCTTGTAAAAGAATTGCTAATTTCACCTTAAAATTATATAATCATTGAAAGTTTACAATTTAATAACAAAAAATTAACATCACTAATCAATATTATTGTAATTAATTCAAATTAATATGAGATACTATTTAACCTTTTAAGCATCTAAGTCAGCTAGACGACCTTAGCAGATTGGTCCAATTTTTGTTTGTTTTCTGTAGCTATCTGTGGTGTTAAAACATGAATGGCAAAAATATAACATCACTAATCAATATGGAATTCAGACAATAAATAATACTTAGTTATTAAGTTATCTAATTATTTTTACAGTATCATACTTTTTACATATATTTTATTACATAGTATCATACTATTATGATAAATCTGAAAGTTTCTTTGGATGTTTGTCCGTTGATCACATTGAAACTACTAAACGGATTTTGATGAAATTTGGTATACAGGAAGGGTATAACTGACTTAGGTGATAGTGTGACTTGTGGACTTGTTATTCCGATTAAATGCTCCTATGGTATCATATACCCGGACGAAGTCGCGAGCAACAACTAGTTTTAAATATTTCTTAAAATTAACAAAACAAAATCATGATCATTTAAACAGTTAGTAGCTTATACATATGAAACGGAATGCTACAAATTTCTTCAATAAATTCTTAACCTTATTATCACAGAATTATAAAGTTGAAAATCCGTTAAAAAGTACAGTTTTATACATTTCAAAGATGTAACTTAGTGTCCTTAATTTATTTAACAATTGTAATATTCTAACCCCTTTATTACAATAATTATTATAAAACAGTATTTGTACATACCTACCTACATACCTTCACATGGACCCCCAAGTGAAGGCAGTGATTATGGAACACTAATTGCCATGATTCTATCATTTATTAAAAGCCTTATACTTTTTTATAATACTCATAACTTCAAATTTTAAATCAAACTTGACACTGGAGTCTATATTTTTAAAATCTGGGAGAAGAGAAAGCAAGAATTGTCTATCTGGATCATTGTGAACATTTTGCAACTTTTTACTTTTTACATGGTCTGATAGCAATTTGAAGAATGCATCCTCGTGTTTTCTTTTTCTAGAAGTATAGTAGTTACTTTTGTTTACTGGTGCTAGTTGGGATATATCATTAGAACTTGAATCATCGCTGTCATAGTTTTCATCGTCTTGCACTTCTCCATATAACGAATTATCTTCTCCATCTCTCTTCATTTTTGTATTAGAAATTGTTTCATATATCGGTTTTAGGAATGATAAGTTGTCATAGTATGTATAAGGTTTATGTGTAGGCGCTCCTTTTTGGTTGCTTTTCTTCAGTTCTCTTACGAACGCGTCTCGGATACCCTTCCACTTCTTCTGTATGAATGCGGCTGTAAAGTAATCGTATAAGTTGGTTAATTATCTGGAGTCTTGTTTATAGGTTTGCAGTTACATTATCAACTTATCTAAATATTATAATGTACCTACCTATATAATTTTAAGAAAACATAGATAGTCAACCGGTTGCTATCATACTTAATCAGGCGCTAACTTTGTTATTGTTCGTTTATCCTTACTATCCTTACTATACTATATATACTATATTAATATTATAAATTGGAAAGTGAGTTTGTCTGTTTGTTCCGCTTTCACACCGTAACTACTAAACCATTTGCTTTGAATTTTTGCAGATGTTAAGTTAGAAGTCTGGATTAAATAATAGGGTATTTTTTATCCCGGAAAAATTTGATATTCCCGAGGGAAAACAAAAGTATTGGTATAGATGGCGCTGTATGTATTAGTATATGTCACATAGGCTACTTTTTATCCTTTTGTGACGCGAGCGAAGCCGCGGGTAAAAGCTAGTATTACTATAAATAGCGACCCGCCCCGGCTTCGCACGGGTGCAATATGCATGTATTATACATATAAACCTTCCGTGTGAATCACTATCTATTTAAAAAACCGCATCAAAATCCGTTGCGTATTTATAAAGATCTAAGCATACATAGGGACAGACAGACGGTGGATAGCGGATTTGTTTTATAATATGCTGTAGTGATTTAATTTAAAACAGCATCTTGTCCGCGTCATTGGTCTGTAATACAACGTCTGAGACGATGATCAATTGGTGTATTCTGCGGAGCTGTCATAGGAAAGTATCTACTTTTAATACGTAGATATCTACAAAATGTACTCGGATGATAACAATAAGTCCAGCAGCTGTAGCCAAATGCTATTTAGCGCTTGTCTACATGTAGTATAGAAAACCAAATTAACTATATGGAATCGACGTAAATTTTGACACTTGTCAGTGTCATCCCCATACATTTAGTTTTCTACTCTCTCTGTAGACAAGCGCTAAAGTGGCGTTTGGCTAAAGGCACTGGGTCGACAAAAACACCAATCACACGGTCGAACCAGCGCTATCACGTACCTACCGCGCGATCACGTAAGTATATAAGTACATACCAACAGAACGAACGAATATTGCTGTAGGTATCTCGTGCTGCTGCCTAAACATTAATTTTCACTCTGACATTAGCATACAAATACAAAAAAAACTTAATTCATGTAATCAAATCTACTTTGTGTTAAAAATACCTACACCTAATAAAATAAGTATCGAAAGACCTACTGACAAAGAATTTATTATTATTTTGAACGCAAAATTGCCGCTCATAAATGGCTAACAAAAAAAAAATACCTTTGTTAAGTTTCTCGGCCTTGGTATAATCGTCATAGTTGGGGTCCAAAACGGAGCAGACTTCTTCCCAAGCGTCTCGTTTCAACAGTCTCTCACTATATTCCTTCACCCTACAATCCCATAACGCAGGACGACATTCTATCTCAGTTATTAAACGTTCAATACTAAAAGACATTGTGAAATTAAATAATAATATAAAAAAGTTGTTAAATAGAAACGTGCGATCGCTTGCAACACGTTTGCCAACTGGCGGGTGGCGGCAACGCGCGGACTCGTTCGATGTGCTAAAGCGTTGTTGTCAGCTCGCGCGTATTTGAGCTCACAAACGCGTCTTGGTGTGACGTCATCCCCTGTTCAAGCAAAAAGCAACTTTATACTCTTGTCAATAGAGTTTAATTTGAAGGAGCCGCAAATGACAGGGTCAATTTATACTGGTGCAAAGTCGAAGCGCATCGGAACGTAAATTTAATTATTAAAATAACAAAAACCTTATCTCGATAATTTAAAGCACATATTCGCAGATTTTGAAAGATGTGCACTTATTAGTACACGCACGCTCAAGCTGCTGTGTTACTGTGTTATTTATACCTTGTCGGATCCAGGAATCGAACCTAAGATCCCTTGTCCACTAATACTAGCAATTGCTCGACCAACAAAACGGTTAGTAAAAATATTTTTTACGATCAAAATATTAATAAAAGTGTACTTTCATTAATTTTCTATACCTATAACATATCGTTTGATATATTTACTACTAGATGTCGCTACCTGTACTTACGTTATAAATGTTAACACAGGATTTTGAATTCTAATGACATTATGTAACTATAATAATACATAACAAATTCCAATCAACCATGTTAACATAATATACCATGTAAATCTCCTACACTTAGCTAAGTCGCCCATATAGCTAGTAAACTACTTAGATATCGGAAATTACTTAACATGCTACCATCTGCTACCTAATGCCACTAAGTAGTGACATTGTATGCAATTTAGGGGAGCACTTAGTACCTGCCGAAACTGTTTCAAGTTCCATTCCGGAATCAGACAAATTCATTGTGATTTTTCAATTTCTGTTTATTTTAACACTTAGCATTTTTAAGACGGAAAATCATCGAATGATTCCTCCCACCTGAGTGGGGTGGCAGGGAGGGTCAGACTGACTTAAGAATCACTTCGTTCGTACTCCTGCACTTCGAGACGGAGCCCGGTAATCTTTTACGTTCTCTTTCGTTCTAGCATAGAATTTGAAGTTGTGCTCTATGTAATATTAAATGGATAGACGGATAGCGGTAAGCAATCGGCGTCGCCCATGGACACAAGAAACATCAAGGCGTTACAAGTGCGTTACGGGCGGAATTTGATGATTGCGGAGGATTCGGGGATTGGGGAGACTGGGGAAGGGGGTAATTGGGCCTCCGGTAGCCTCACTCACACGAAGAAACACAATGCAAGCGTTATTTCACGTTGGTTTTCTGTGAGGACTTCACAAATTAGGAACAAACAAACAATCACAAAGGAGAAATTTACAAACCCATGACACCGAGATCCAGAATTTATGCTACGCGGGAATGAAACCCGTAGCACGTTGCACAACAGGAGTCCACGCAGCCACTGCGACAACCGTACAGTTGCAATTATAGTTCAATAAAAATATATTGACTTAAGTAGCACTACCACATGCTTCTTTTTTCTTTTTTTTTAAACGTTGCCCCCACATTAGGGTTTTCTCCTGTGTCGTGGGTGCGTTTAAAAACATACAAGTTCACATACACAATGACACCCAGACCCGGAACAACAATTTGTGGATCACACAAAGTGTTGTTCCGTGCGGGGATCGAACCCGCGACAGCCGGTTATCCAGCCACTGCACCAACCGTGCAGTCAACATTAATATCATACTTATACTAAAATTGCATTCCACAACACTAAATCCAAGTACATTTAATAAAACGTTACCCATATAGGTATAAAACTCTCCAATATTTACTGTCTACCCTAAAAATATAAAAGTCGTGGTGTACATCGGATGAAACATTCGGTTCCCGAGCCGGTCATAAAATTTTATGGCATGAAACCATTGGATATTCTAAAATTTTGAAACGAAATTTTACATAAGGATATGGAACCTATGTCCTTGTTTGTTATCTAGATTCTACAATATCTATTGTAACTAAATCAATTTCAGAAATATACAACAAAATGTTTAATATTTAGGGTAAAATAGACATAAATAAAATTAATATTGACTATAACTAAATGAAAATATATACAACTTAAAATATAAATAACTATGAACTAAAATATTTACATCTTAAAAAAAATATTAAAAATTTCTGAATTTGAGTGATCGCTAAAATACTTTCTGATGGTGTAAAGTATGGTTTAATATATATATGTATAAATTAATCAGATAAATTAATGACAAACGGTGAAGGAAAACATCGTGAGGAAACCTGGGCTTATAATTTCTAATTAGAATCAAAATTTGAAATCGCTAACCCGCATTGAGCAAACTGGATTAATGCTCAAACCTTCTCCGAGCAAGAAGAGGCCTTTGGTCAGCAGTGGCCACTTATAGGCTGTTGATAATAATGATGATGGTTTAATCTACAGTTCTAAGGAAAATATTTCGAAAAGGTATTTAAGCCTTTGACTGCCAATACTAAATTGTTGAAGACCATGATAGATGCTCCATCGCAGACCGCTTCATCGCTTATTACCAGGCAAGATAGTGGTTAAACGTCGACCCATTAAATACATAAAAAAAACATTTGAAAAACACTTTTAAATTACTTTCCCAGCGAGGAAATTCGGTAGCTTCCTGGGTCAAAAATAAATTGTCAGTCCAATTAAATATTGAAAAAAAAGGTTCACTTTCATTCATTGATTTGCCGATATACTTAATTATCGATTTATTCTAGCATTTTTTTAGATATAAGTGTGCTATTTGACGCGAAAATATGATGACGTCATAAGATGACGTCATAAGATAATGTCATAAGATGACGTTTCTATAAAAGTATTAAATTTGACTAGTTGTCAACTACTTTATTATGATAAAGTCGTTTGAGAAATGACGATCTGCCTAAAGATTGTAAACCTGCATCAAAGTTGAATCAATTTACAAAGAAACCATTTACCAAAATCAATACACCACAACAGTGTTCTGTTCTATATTTCGCCTATATTATATACACCATGTATAAAGCCTAACCGTAGTACAATTTATGTAAATGTTCCCTCGTGAATAATACACGCGTTCCCGAGTGCTCCCACTACTTACTGCGATTAGCGTGTCATCGACGCTTTTTATGATATCTCCCTTCTAATACATGCTTTCGGTGTGTACCGATATAGAATGACGAACTTTATTGTATTTTGTACTGTGATTTGTAGCGTTTTAGATGTTTTAAGGAGAAGAGCTAAAAAACTGCTGCTGTTATCGTACCTATGTAAAAATAAATAAATCAATATTGTTTCATTTACAACAATACATAATCTATTTCCACGTAATCTAAAATACGAAATATTACACGGAAACCTAGTCAAGCTCACATACCTACCCAAACCCAGAGATCCTAAAATATCATTTTGACAATATTAATACATTAGACAAGGAAATTCATAGAAATCCATTCAAGTACCTGAACAGTATTAATACCATCTAATTGGGTAAATACTACGAAACCATTCACCCACATCCCTCGTAGCACAATATACCTAAAAACACAAGACAGCAAACTAATAAACTATATTTAGTACCCTCAAACTATGCCAGAAATTCTCATGGTATAGCAAATAATTACTCAAACACATTTCGCTCCAAGCAAATTAATCAAGGCAACCGCAAATCAAACGATAGCACTGTATTTGCGACACTACATCGCACTAAATATACAAACTATCATCCCTTTACAAAAGGTAGGTGAGCAGCCAACAGCACTACGCTGTTCCCTCTATAAATTACTCCTCTCCTACAGACAAACTTATGTCTTTTCTACTTTACACAAAAACCAACTCTATACTGAAGCTTTTAAGAGTGACTGACGATGTATTTGGAAAATGGTTTTGAGTGAATAAAGATGAATGGGTGAGCCCAACTGTCTCACGGTAGGTGGTCTTTGACAGACAGACGTTCCTTTACTTAGACCGTATATCACATGTGCCATTTTTAATTTTAGAATACTACTACACTGCATGGGCGCAGTGGCTGGTAGACTGATTGTTGAAAATGTGTTGCGTGCACAGGTTTGATTCAATGAGATCTTTGGGCGATCGAATCAGAATTAAGTGTATTGTCTACATGAAGTTGTGTATCTAAAATATACATCCACGGTACAGAAGACTGTTCTGATGAATTTATATAAATATCATCATCATTACATTATCACGCCTTTTATTCCGCTAGGGGTAGGCAGACGTACACATTACGGCACTTAATGACACTGTACTATGTATGTAATACCCACTTTTCACTATTTATGTTATGAGTCCCATGTAGTAGGGGGTGAGCCTATTGCCATATACCGGGTACATTTCCAGACACAGTGCAAATACTGAAGTAATACTTTGCACGACCCGGAAATCGAACCCGAGGCTCCTTGCGCGGCAGTCGCATTTGCGATCACTTGGCCAACGCACTCATTATAGTTTATATAAATACTACAACAGATTTTTTTTTAATAACTATGTAATTTTTAAAGAATGAAGGTTGGTAAAGATATATTGAAGTTTTGGACAACCAACTGATGAATTCTTAGTTTGACTGTTTTCGCCATTGGATTTCGATTTTGCAGGAATTTTGGTGTCATACTGATATGTTTGATGTTTGACGACTGGACACGGATCACGGATTGACGCGTGTCCGACCATCAGAACCGTCGACAGGTGAAATTGGATTTACGATCTTCAAATTTTCAAATTTGAATCTTTTGACTTTCATTCGTCACCTGCGCGTGTCATAAAGGATGTGGTTTTAACTTTGAAAGGGTAGATAGGTATATACAGGAGGGTAGGTAAAGGGTATTTTCATTGAACCATGATACTGTTACAACCTCATTGATTGAGTGTTTGAAAGTCTATTTTTGAGAGGGGAAAATCATAAAATGACTTAAATCTTACTGACTAAAAACCACCCCGTTCGTTCTCCTGCACGTCGAGCCGGAGCCCCGGTTACCCGTTATGATTTCATAGGTTATGTCTTTTTTTTTAAGGGGGGAAAATC